GGCAGTGAAGGACAGGAAGGCCTGGCGCAATATGCTTCATGGGGTCACGAAGAGTCGGACATGACTTAACGACTAAACAACAACAAATAAATAAACAAACAAACATGCACACTTTCCAATGCACTCTTTTTCTACATAAGCGGGCCAGGTCCTCTCACATCGACCCTACACTTCTGAAATCCAGCCAAGTTATGTTGGCATCTAAGGGTGTCCCAGCGCTGCCTTCCCTTTTCCATGGCAATAAAAATACAGCATCAAGTTACATTATTAATCACTGACAGCCCTTTGATTGCCATCAAAATTGTGCTGTCCAAAAATAGTGCCAGGCCTGTTTTGAAAGTATGTTGCCCTCCAAGAAAAGGGGAAAGATCCAAAGGGCAGGGCAAAGGGGTAGCTCACATAAAGTGGCCTTCATTCTTGCCAAGGGCCATGAGTATCAGCAACAATGAATAAAGCTGCAACAGGGGGAGGGACCTACGCCCTAACCCCTGTCCTCCAATCGCTGGGCATCAAGCATCTTACCCGGTACGTCGTCCTTTCAGCTGCCTGTAAGCTCAAACCTGAGGAGGGAAAAGACAGAAGAAGGTGAGAAGGTCTTGCCATTCCACGTGCCATTATATTCATCACACAGTCTTCCACCGTGATAGGCATCCTCTCCCCTCTCCCTCTGCTTCTTTGGAGACACACAGAAAATGAAAAAACTTGCCTGGAATAAGAATGGTCTGGAGGGGACGAACTTCTACACCTTGAGCTGGATATTCTAGTGGTGAGTTGGCTGGGACTATGAGCAGCTGGTCAGCTGGGGACTGAGACCTGGTAAAGACAAAGGAAAGCAGTTCAGGGGTGCCAACATCTGGCCTTCACGTACTATCCAGCAAACATCTGACAAGGACAAATGCCCCCATGGGGTAACAGCTGTGCACGTTAAGTATTTTCTTGCCCTGGTTATTTACAGTCATAGTTGTTTAATACTTAATGTTGTTCTGGCCCTCAGTGGCTAAATCTAAGCTTGTTCACAAGGGAGCAAATCCAGAGACTGCATTATTTTCCTGGCAGTAAAGTTAGAATTGCAGCCTCTCAGAACAAGTCTAGCAGGATGCTTATTCAAAACTAAGCCTCACGGTGTTCACTGGGATTTACATTTCCTATTACCGGGAAGACCAAACATTATTACATTCATTTAATGTATTTGGATTTGTACTTTGTAGTTCTTGGAACTTGTACTTCAAGTTCTTGAAATACAATTTAGTTCAGAAATGCTTCTGACTTTTTTTACAGTAATTTTATTAAAAATTACAGTTAAAAAATAAAAACTGAAAAAATAGAAAGTGCAGAAAAGAAAAAAGAAAAATAGAAAAGAAAAAAAAAGAAAAAGAAAAGAAAAGAAATATATAAAGGAATGACTTCCCCCCTAATCACAACAAATATAAACAATTTTAGTAACTTATCACCTTCCCTTAAAATACAACAAATGATCTCTTCTTCCCATATTCCATCTCTTATCTAT